TGAATGCTGGACAGTTTCCTTCACAGATGAAGAGAAAACTAGAGGCAACAGAAATGTGGTTCTACAGGAGGATACTGAGAATTTCAGGGATAGAACGCGTAAACAATGAGAAAGTCTTAAGGAAAAAAGAAAACAAAAAAATGAAACTTATTCGTAAAATCAGAAAGACAGATGACATTTCATAAAATTATAATCAGGAAAGAAATTTTGATACTCACAGAATATTGTTTTTTATCCCGGGATCCATAGGGATGTAGGGGTACCATGTGTATGGTGTTTCTTGGGCTAGATCGCCTGATGGAGCCAATCACTCAGGTTATGAATTCAGAGATTTTCTTTCTCCTAGACCTGTGGCCACCCAAGGCTATAGAACCCAGTTTATCCTGCTATTTATCCATAGCTTGGGAGAGAAGAAGAGGATTTATACCTTTCCCAAGTCTATTAGCACGTAAGTGAATATAATGGATCCGATTGAATTTCGAACTTGGCTCTCCGATTCCTTAGTCCCAGCCGCTATCCATCGTGCCACAGGATATATCGAAGGACAAAGGTGACGGGGGATGGGGTTTCAGCGGGTCTTAGCATTTTGTATAACTGAATAGCTGAACCGAGAGTAGAATGGATAGCCAAAAGACAAACGTCACTAAGAGCAACAAGGCATAGGAAATTGTAGAGGGTCATGACTTCCCTCGTCCTGAAGGAACGTAACAAATAGAACAAGTCAGATTGGAAGATGACAATTTAAATCACGCGATACAGCTTAAAGATAAACTAGAACTTCGGCGCATGTCACGTAACATTAGGTTAGGCCGTCTTCAATTTATAGCCTGCTAAAGATGGGTTTTCAAATAGTCGGTGTATCAAAAACATAAACAATATCTTTCATGTTTTCATCTTCAGTTAGATATTTTCCGAAATCTGAAGGAATATTTCGTCTTAGATCGACTGAAAATAATAAACATACGATATTTCTGGTGTGGGGAGGAGCGAAATTACCCTTTTTCCGAATTTTACATATAATTATCTTTTTTTTTTTTTTTTACAATTACAGAGTTAATTATTTCTCCAGCGTTTTTTTTTCTTTTCATATTTGTATATTTCTTACCGTTCATTGGCTCCACCATCTTTTTTAATCATTCATTGATATCTGTCAGAAGATGACCTCACGTAATATGACTAATTTGCAATTCATTCGCAATTATTTATTTAGTTGTAAAAAAAAGACCACCATCAATGTCATCTTTCAACTAATTTAAAATCAACCCTGACTTTATATTCGCCATTCTCCTTCGCATTTCTTTACACTTGACATTTTGGCTCAAGTTTTTACATTGACATGAGATAGACTAATTCTATTGAATCAACTGCCAGGTCTGCTGCTAAGAAAGTTGCTCACTGTATTGTGCCAGACTATTTTTCTCTTTAGAACGAATTTTGCATATTTATAAGGCTGCTCTTCTGCAATACTTTGATATTTACTTCTATATATTTATATTCTTGATAAAATACAAAGAATCGTTTGCTGGATATTTCTCTTTGTCCTCAATATCCCTTGTGAGTTTTCAATTTTCCAAGCGTTCTTTTACGTATAAGCCTATTTTTGATTTCCATTTTCCTTAAAATTGACCTACAATCAACTATTAACTGGGGCAAGGAATGACATGCTAATTTTAACGGCATCAAAACGAAACTTCACTCTGTTTCTCGTTTGAGAGACGCATTTCTGTCTTTCATTATCATACCTGATGTTAACCTGCAGGAAAGTGATACATTGCACCTTCTCGTGTGTACGTTTTCTGCTGATAAAGAGTAGAAATATAATATTGCATCAAGTGCCAAATCTGCTGTTAGGAAAATTGGTTCACTGTATTTTGCTAGACAATTTTTTTCTCTTTAGAAAGTATTTTACATATTTATAAGACTGCCTTTCTCCAATAATTTGATATGTACTTCTATATATTTAGATTCTTAATAAAATACAAAGAATCAGCAATATTATTGATCCTGATCTGGCATCTCGTCTTCAATCCATTTCCCACCTCCGTCATTTACATTCATATAAAAAAAATCATAAAAAAATATCTTAAAATAATTGGCGGACTTTGTCCATTTCATAATGCGTGACGTCATTTGTTTACATTTGAATACGGATCGAGCGGATATGAATGTACGATATAAAATCATGGAGAATTGTAGTTTAAAAACAGTAAAATCGACCTTGCTAACCGAAACGCTCCTCTGTGGCTCAATCGGTAAATCACGTCAGGCTATATGACGGTTCCGTATACGATACAAGGTCGATTCCTGTGGGAGGACGCATATTTTCTATGAAAATTTCTCGGATATTTAGGCCGGTAAATGTCGTTAATACTGTTAATTATAAACAGAACATTTACTTAAATATTTGTATCTATAAAAAGAACGCATAAACATAAAAAAATGTCTTAAAATAATTGCCGGAATTTGTCTATTTCATAATGTGTGACGTCATTAACCATTTTATTTCGCAACTCTTTACACTTTACACTTGAGCGAATCTTTTTCGATTGACACCAGACAGACTGATTTTATTGAATCAATTGCTAAGTCTGCTGCTAGGAAATTTGGCTCACTGTATTTTGCCAGATAATTTTTCTTGTCAGAATCCATCTTGCACATTTATTAATCTACCATTTGTCCATACATTCAATATTGATGCTATATCTTCTCTGGTGTTCCTACTATATATAAAAATGATTCCTGACTAAATCCAAAGAACAGCCTGTAATGTAATCGACCCTGACCTGACATCTCGTTTTTCAGTTACCTTCTAACCAACGAGACTTGATTTCTCTTCTTCATTTCGACAAATATTTTCATGGCAATTTTTCTGATGAGTTTTCCTCCCTTTTGCTACGACAGCATGAATCTAAGCTAACAACAAATATGGTAACTAGAACTCATCGTTTTACTGTTGAACTGAGTAGATATGCAACCGTCATTTCAATTTTCATACTGTCTTTACTCACAATTCTCGCAAGTGGAATTTTCTACCAATTTTTTACTTCCCTGCTACATAGAAAAGTTTGAACTAGCGAGATGCAGGCGTATGTTCTATTCTAATAGTTTAATTTGCGATTCATTGCTCTCCTACGATATAAAATCTTCAAGTATTTAAATGCATCACCTATGATCATCTTCTTGTTCTTTTATTGTCCTTTCTCATTCTCTTTCATTCCCACCTCATTGCGTCATAGTGGCATTATCGTCATCTTCTGTCTTCATGAAACCTGGTCTTTTAGTGTCCTTTATTCTCACTAAAATCTGTAGAGGGGTGAAAGACTTACGGGTGATAGACTCCTTCTTCTGTAGAGGGAAAGACATAAAAGACATACGGACTTACGTGATACAACTCCTTCTCTGTAGAGGGGAAAGAAAGACTTCTCTGTAAAGATACAACTCCATCTTCTGTAGAGGGTGAAAGACTTACAACCCTTCTTCTGTAGGTGATACAACTCCTTCTTCTGTAGAGGGGTGAAAGACTTACGGGTGATACAACTCCTTCTTCTGTAGAGGGGTGAAAGACTTACGGGTGATACAACTCCTTCTCTGTAGAGGGGTGAAAGACTTACGGGTGATACAACTCCTTCTTCTGTAGAGGGGTGAAAGACTTACGGGTGATACAACTCCTTCTTCTGTAGAGGGGTGAAAGATTTACGGGTGATACAACTCCTTCTCTGTAGAGGGGTGAAAGACTTACGGGTCTTACAACTCCTTCTCTGTAGAGGGGTGAAAGACATACGGGTGATACAACTCCTTCTTCTGTAGAGGGGTGAAAGACTTACGGGTGATACAACTCCTTCTCTGTAGAGGGGTGAAAGACTTACGTGTGATACAATTCTTTCTTTGTAGAGGGGTGAAAGACTTACGGGTGATACAACTCCTTCTTCTGTTGAGGGGTGAAAGACTTACGGGTGATATAACTCCTTCTTCTGTAGAGGGGTGAAAGACTTACGGGTGATACAACTCCTTCTTCTGTAGAGGGGTGAAAGACTTACGGGTGATACAACTCCTTCTTCTGTAGAGGGATACAACTCCTTCTTCTGTAGAAAGACTTACGGGTGATACAACTCCTTCTTCTGTAGAGGGGTGAAAGACTTACAGGTGATACAATTCTCTGTAGGTCTTTCTTTGTAGAGGGGTGAAAGACTTACGGGTGATACAACTCCTTCTTCTGTTGTAGGGGGTGAAAGACTTACGGGTGATAAAGACTAACTCCTTCTTCTGTAGAGGGGACTTAAAGACTTTCTTCTGTAGGTGATATAACTCCTTCTTCTGTAGAGGGGTGAAAGACTTACGGGTGATACAACTCCTTCTTCTGTAGAGGGGTGAAAGACTTACGGGTGATACGACTCCTTCTTCTGTAGAGGGTTGAAAGACTTACGGGTGATACTCCTTAGTCTGTAAATGTTTCAAACTGGTGAAGCTAGACAATGCAGTTTATCTGGACTTTTGTCGGGAAAACACCGATAGACGGGTGAAAGACTTACGATGTTGTGTCTGTCGGACAATGTTTGAAAGTAATTTATTTCCATCCTCCCACGGGGATTAATGGGTGTGGCACGCTCGCCATTTTTCAAGTAATTGTTTTTAATGCATGATTACTTTGTCCCAGGAATCAAATCCTTTAAAAAACATGGACTTCCACTGTCATTTGAATTTGTCCGTTTATTTTATGAATTGTAAAAAATCCTAACGACTTGGCTATTCCAGCAGGAATTTCTATTTGGTAGAAAAGTGTAAATTAATTCTTTCATTGTCGAGGCATTCCGATTTCATTTTTATTTTTATTTCTTTTGCTTTTTCTCACTTTTTCTTTTTCTCTCTTTTTCTTTTTTGTCTTCTCATTAATTTCTTTCTTTCTTTCTTTTCTTTTCTTTTCTTTCTTTCTTTGGTTCATTCTTTCTTTTATTTCTAAAAGTGTTTGCAATTTAACATTTTTTATTTAGTTTACACAACAGATGCGTTTGCTTCCATTTCTTTTCGATTTACCTTTTAGTTGTGTTTGCTTGTTTATTCTTCATTCATTCATTAATTTTTTCTTTCATTCATTCATTTATTCTTTCTTTCAATCATTCTTTCTTTTTCCATTCATTCATTCATTCATTCCTTCATTCTTTCTTTCTTTCTTTTATTCTTTCTTTCTTTCTTTCTTTCTTTCTTTTCTTTCACCCTCCTTTAACCTCTTTAAGTCTGACTATATAAATACTTTTTCAACAAACATTGCACTTTCTTTCTTTCATTTATTCTTTCTTTCTTTTATTCATTCATTATTTCTTTCCTTTTTCATTCTTTCATTCATTCTTTTCCTCTTTCTTTGTTCATTCATTCATTCTTTCTTTCTTTCTTTCTTTCTTTCTTTTTTTCACCCTCCTTTAAACTCTATAAGTCCGACTATATGTATACTTTTCAACAAACATTGCACTTACTTTCTCTTTCTTTCTTTCTTTCTTTCTTTCTTTCTTTCTTTCTTTCACCTTCAATTTCTACCACACCACCCACCACTTAGTCCTTCATACTAATTAAATCTTTCTCTTCTTCCCTTTTTCTTTTTCTTTGCATTTTCGATGTTTTTTCTTTCCTTTTGTTCGCCTATGCTCTTTTCTTTCACTTTCTTCGTTACTTTGATGCAACCGCCATTTTGTTCTACTTACCCCCGCTCTCCTCCTCTCCCCCTCCTCCTCGTCCTCATCGGTTTGCTTATGTTTCGGCATTGTTCAGGAAATTGGCAGCCGTAAAATTCTATCCACAACACTGAGCTTCTTCTAATTTCCCACTAAACTTCCGCCATTTTGCGAAAAATTGAAACTTTCGACATTACGACCAAACCTTAATGGAAATACAAAGTGACGACTTTACTGAAAAGTCTATCCGGGCATCTCATCTTGCTTTTTCAAGCGTTTGCTTCACTTACTTTTCGCGCGCGCGCACACACACACACACACACAGAGAGACAGACGCACACGCGCTGTCAGACCAGAAGCACCTTGCAGATATCGAAGACTTCTATCAGTATAAGTAGAGATATTGTATCTATAGCCAGCTTGTAAGAACTTTCGCTTAGCTTACAGTACCTGGTTGTCCACAGCGGTCACCGGGATCAACATTACCTACTATCAATGATCGATCGTTGTTTTAACGTGAAATGGATGTCAACAATAGTTATTTTTCCTACAAAGATAAAAGATGGTTTGTTGTTACTGCCAGCTGATATTTTGAATCGCCTTGGTTAGCTGCTTCATGCTTTTGTTAGGGTCCCTACCCTGGAGTCGTACAGAGGGACTGTTTCCACTGTTTCTCTGAAAAATTCAACTATAGTTTTAGATTGTACACTAAAATGGATGCTTGGATAAATAGCAAAAGTAAGATGAAGAATGAGTAAAAACAAACAAGATGGAGTTTATGTGAGACTTTCAAGGACTTGTCAACTTCTCACTGTAACACCATTTCTCCCACTTCAGCCTCTTTAGGCTTCCATAACTTTAGGTTATCAAATATATGACACTGAGACAATGAAGAATTTCCGATATATCTTAGTCCACTGCAGAAGCGATTATTTCCTGATAAGCAGTCTTCAGCTAAAGGCAGTTGATAATTTTAGTTTTACTCTAGAAAAGAATACAAGGAAAAACGTAATATATGGAGAACACTGGACACGAATGTTTGACCTTTTTCAATTATATATATATATATATATATATATATATATATATATATATATATATATATATATATATATGTGTGTGTGTATAAATTCCTTCCTCCTTTTTTCTCTTTTTTTGCTTACTTCATATTTCTTCCTTTCCGCTCTTGCTTTCTTTCTGTCATCATTTCTTTTTTTTTCCGCATCAATCACTTTTTTTCTTTTCTAATAGTTTTCTTTCTTTCATGCTATTCGCTTGCCTTTCTATCTTTTCATTGATTATCTCCAAGCGAATTCTTTCCTTCTTTATTTCATTCTTTCTTTCTTTAGATTATCTCTTTATTTTGGTTTCCTTTTCTTTTCGTTCTATCACTTACTTATTTTTCTGCCATGGCCTAAATTTTGTCTTTCTTTTTTCTTTCTTGATTTCTTTCTTTTTCTCTTCATTCAATCATTTTTCTTTTTGTCATTGCCTAAAATTTGTGTTTCTTTTCTTTCTTGATTTCTTTCTTTCTTTTTCTCTTCATTCAATCATTTTTCTTTTTGTCATTGCCTAAAATTTTTGTTTCTTTTCTTTCTTGATTTCTTTCTTTCTTTCTTTCTTTTTCTCTTCATTCAATCATTTTTCTTTTTGTCATTGCCTAAAATTTTTGTTTCTTTTCTTTCTTGATTTCTTTCTTTCTTTCTTTCTTTCTTTTTCTCTTCATTCAATCATTTTTTTTTTTTGTCATTGCCTAAAATTTTTTGTTTCTTTTCTTTTCTTGATTTCTTTCTTGATTTCTTTCTTTTCTCTTCATTCAATCATTTTTCTTTTTGTCATTGCCTAAAATTTGTGTTTCTTTTCTTTCTTGATTTCTTTTTTGATTTCTTTCTTTTTCTCTTCATTCAATCATTTTTCTTTTTGTCATTGCCTAAAATTTTTGTTTCTTTTCTTTCTTGATTTCTTTCTTGATTTCTTTCTTGATTTCTTTCTTTTTCTCTTCATTCAATCATTTTTCTTTTTGTCATTGCCTAAAATTTTTGTTTCTTTTCTTTCTTGATTTCTTTCTTGATTTCTTTCTTTTTCTCTTCATTCAATCATTTTTCTTTTTGTCATTGCCTAAAATTTGTGTTTCTTTTCTTTCTTGATTTCTTTCTTGATTTCTTTCTTTTTCTTTCTTTCAATTCCATCACAACTTTTTCTTTCTTTCTTTTTTCTTTTCTTTTTATTCTATCAGTTTTCTTTCTTTTCTGTAATTGCCTAATTTTTTCTTTCTCTATTTCTCTTTCAGTCTTTATTAATTTCTTTCTTACCATTCCATTAGTTCTTTTTTTCTTTCTTTCTTTCTTTCTTTCTTTCTTTCTTTCTTTCTTTCTTTCTTTCTTTCTTAAGATTTTATCCCTTCTTTCTTTCTTTCTTTCTTTCCATTCAATCACTTCCTTTTTCCTTCATTCTTTCTTTCTATTTCATCACTTGCTTTCATTTTTTTCATTCTTTCTTTTTGCGATTCCATCTTTTCTTTCATTTTTTTCTATTGCATCAATTCTTTCTTTCTATTTTATCACTTTTTCTTTCTTTCTTTCATTCTTTCTTTCTTTCCTTCTTTCCTTCTTTCTTTCTTTCCGTTCCAACCCTTCTTTCGTTCTTTCTTTCTTTCTTTCTTTCTTTCTTAAGATTCATCACTTCTTTCTGTTTTTCTTTCTTTCTTTTTTCCGTTCAAATACTTGTTTTTCTTATTCATTCTTTTTTCTATTGCACCACTTCTTTCCTTCATTTTTCTTTCTTTCTTTCTTTCTTTCTTTCGTTTTTCTATTGCATCTCTTCTTTCTTTCTATTTTATCACTTTTTTTTTCTTTGTTTCTTTCTTTGTTTCTTTCATTCCGTTCCATCCCTTCTTTCTTTCTTTTGTTTACCTTACTCCTTATTTGCTTTGTTTGCTTGCTCATTTCATTTTCCTTCTATTCTGAAAAGTCTTTTTCACTCAGTCGATTTCCCGCTTTCGCACGCATGCGTACACTGCCATTTTCGTCTCTCCCGATTCTATCAAAGACTATTTCCCATTTTCCGTTTCCCCCTGCACTTACTTGAGGTTCCATTTCCGGTTTGTGGAAAACTAAACATAGCGCCATATCGAAAGGATGATTTGAAAGTTTGGTGTGGCGCTGAACGAAGGCGCGGCATCTCAACTTAAAAGCAATCGGTCACATAGAAAGAAGAAGAATGAGTTGCCACTGAGGTACGAGCAATGGAGAATGGCGTACGGTCGAACAGAGAGGAAAACGAGAACAACAACAAAATATAACGGGGAAAAAAAATAAACGTTGATGAAAGGAGATGGATTAAAATTGAGAGAAAACTGGAAAAGACTCAATGACGGTTGCAGATAATGGCGGGAAAGAGATGATAGATAATGGCGGGAAGACAATGGCGGGAAGACAATGGCGGGAAGACGGATGAAATGCTTCAAAGATGGGATTGTGCTAAGTTTGGCTGTAACGATTGCAGATATTGACTAAATGGCATATAAAAAAAGAAAGGTAGAAATGACAATAAGTAATCAATCAATAGGTATGATTACCTGTAGGCTCGATTCATAATTACGATGTACATACCACATTTTGTTCAGGCGATGAAACAGGATTAGATACACACACACTATATATAGGTGCTGAGATAGGTCAATCAAATAACTAGATATTAGCAAACGTATATACTTGCGTTAGCATACATACACAGATAAGCGAATAAGTATTTAAACATTTTAATATAAAGTGTAAACAAAACAGTGCTGAATGTGGTTAGACAGAGCAAAGAACTATATATATATATATATATATATATATATATATATATATATATATATATATATATATATATAAAAAAAAACAAACCGGAAAGGTTTTTGGTTGTAACGTGTTTTTTTTAATATATTATGCTTTATTTTCCATAACTATGGAAAATAAAGCATAATTTTTTTTTTTTAAATCCACATTATAACCAAAAACGTTTACGGTTTTTTCTTTTTTTTAATATACACACTTTTCTTCCTTTTTATATATATATATATATATATATATATATATATATATATATATATATATATATATATATATATATATATGTATGTATATAGGCGTTTTAGCTGGTAAATGAACAAACCACTACCCAAGTGAAAAAAAGGTTAAAAAAGAAAGAACTAAGAACATTTACTTCAGGCGAAATTAATCGTGTAGTTCAGAGTCCAAAGAAAAAACTTCCGGCACTAGTAAAGTAAAAATAACTAAGCAAATTTGTCTGGCTCTTTAGACTAGGTTACATTTTTCATTCGTGTACATTTTGTGGTTAGTCTCTCTTCAACGTTTTATGTGTGTAGTAAACTAAAGTATTTTTTTCATATTGTACGCACACGTTTTAGATAATCTCTGGAGGTACCTATATTACTGTATGGTGTATTTTCATATTAAAAAAGAAACGTTACAGCACTTATTTAATTTTTAGATCATTGGGGCTTTCGGTAGATCATGGCTAATTCAGCTCAGCCATTAATTCTCATTTGTGGTGAGCTTGATGGATTGGTACCACTGATCTCCGTCATGTTAAGGTCATCGCTTAAATCCATCTTCCATTAGAATTCGTTATATTTAATGTTTTTGAGTTGAGAGACAGGCGTGCGTATATGTGAAATGTATTTAAGTAAAGGGCCAAGCCTGCAAAGTAAGTAGCGGCTTACAGCGGTGTGTGAAAGCATATGATTTATAGGATCGTGTGAAAGCGAAAGATTTATAGGGGTGTGTAAAAGCGTAAGATTTATAGGGATGCGTGAAAGAGTAGGATTTAAAGGGATGAGTGAAAGAGTAAGATTTATAGGGGTGTGAAACCGTAAGATTTATAGGCGTGTGTGAAACTGTAAGATTTATAGGGGTGTGTGAAAGCATAAGATTTATAGGGGTATGTGAAAGTGTAAGATTTATACGGATGTGTAAAAGCGTTAGATTTATAGGGATGAGTGAAAGCGTAAGATTTATAGGGATGAGTTGAAGAGTAAGATTTATAGGGGTGTGAAACCGTAAGATTTATAGGCGTGTGTGAAACTGTAAGATTTATAGGGGTATGTGAAAGCGTAAAAAAGTAAATAATAATAGAATTATTCGTTTTGATTCAATTAATTTTACAAGGGTGTAGGTTATGTGATATTACCTAGCAATTAAGGGGTCTTTTCCTTACTTAAAACGAAAATTTTCAGATCTTTTATACTTTTGCCAGGGAACTTGGGCCACGCAGCGGGGAGTTAAAACCAATTCTGGCCACCGTTTCTTCATTGGAATATTTCAGGTGGAAATTATGTATATATGAATATACGTTACTTTTGTTTACTTTTATAAGTCATCTTTTGCTATTCCAATAGGTGTTTGGATCTCGGTACCACATTTTCTGTCCTTTGTTGACACGTTTCAAAGATATTTGAATTTTTGTACTTGCTTGACATTTAGACATATCAAAAAAATATTAAGACTCCTTTGTTTTCTGAGGTCTTCTTTACAAATTCGCTTGTTGTAAACGATTGCAAAGTTAAATCCAACCATTACTGTCTACCTGCGTTCTGTGGGAGGAAATTTTGCGCAAGATCGATTGCGATAAAAAGATGGAGTTAGGAAACAATAGAAAACGAATGCTAAAGCATTCCAATTAAGTAATCGATAACGAGTCGATCAGGCAGAACAGGTGGTTGGTTTCAAAGCAAATATTTCAAGCTTGAGCAGAAGTGGAAAAGGTGGGGGCTTTGAAAAGCCTTATAGTGGCAGTCAGTTTCTTGACAGATACCGTTAAAAGAATATTTCAAGTAATCATTCCGTCTGATTCTATTAACAACATTTGTAAAAGCTGAGACTTGAATTCGACTATAAGTATTGCGTATGAAGAAAAATATATAGAAAAACAAAATTCCGAATATGCTGTTTTAATGTTGTTTCAATGTCGACGTTTTGATTAGTCTTACTCTTATTTCTAACGTCTTTTCATGTTGACTTGAATATCGTCTAATGTTAATTATGTTTTAATAACTATGTCCTGAAGAAGGTCTACTAGACCGAAACGTCTGACGTCGACATTGAATCAACATTAAAACAGCATATCTGCATATTCGGATTTTTGTTTTTCCATATATTTTTCTTCATACTGTCGGATCTATATCCATATATTTGCTTAAAAGTATTGCGTATATATTTTTTTCTTTTGGTATTGTCTTTAATCTTTGATGCCTTTTAAAACAAAATTATGGCTGATATATTTTTCGCGTTTCTCAGGTGGATTCTAACTTTTGGTACGTGACAAATAATTAAAGAAGCTAGTAAAAGAAATGTGCCGCTGACGGAAAAAATAAATTGTGTTTGTTAAATATTCGAAATGTATATTCGAATAACGCGTTTGTAATTTATCTAGATATATTTTCCGGGTATAACGATCTGTTTGGATTTCTATATCCTTTCAGCTTTTTATACCGAGAATGCAACAACTGGCAAAAAAATCCTAAATGGATCACCACAGATACTCTTCCTGAAAGTACATCAATGAATATTAACAGCTTCTTAGTAAAAATTAAGAATTGATTTTTCATTGCATTCTGATCAACTGTAAATAACAATCTGACAGCATTAATTGCGAATTGAAAAACACACTAAGTTACTTGGAAGATTAGCAAAAAAAGATTCATCTCATCCCGGCATATGTTATCTGCAATGTTATCAGTCCTGACCTGGCATCTCGGCTTCAGTCACTTTCACTGTGCCTTTTCTATAAATATGTCTATGGTTATTGTTTTGATGAGCTTTCCTATTCATATTGTAAATACTCATTGGGGCTAGTTTTTAGAATTGTTGTTTTATCCCCCCCCACGGACATTGAATTGTAAATATGAGGGACTAGTTAGTATTTTCATAGAGACAAAGAGGTATTATGGTGATTGTAGTAAGAAAGGTACGTATGAATGTGTTGTTTTGGTGCAAGGAATATTGTTTCGTACGATTGGGTCAGTGTTTGCGGCTAGCTAAGTTATAGTTAAGACAGAAGAAGACCGTCCTTTCCCCAATCCCCTTTTCGGCCTTGTGCCACATTCCTGTAGGGAACAATAAATATCGCTTTCCTATTGGGAACTGTTCATGGAGTAGAAAGTGAAAATGAGTTGATAAGACACCAGGGGTGTTGAAACAAAATGGCTATTTTTGTAGTGATTTTATATATTTATATTTTATATATTTTCATATTTATGTTATAATTTTTAAATAAATAATTATATTCGCTCTACTCTGTATTGAGCACTCTTTTAAGAATAGTAGTTGGTTATTGGAATTTATTCTGTATACACCAATCATATACTTGTATATATATATATATATATATATATATATATGTGTGTGTGTGTGTGTGTGTGTGTGTGTGTGTGTGTGTGTGTGTGTGTATTTTGCCACCTTATTCCTACATAAATGGTAACTTATATTCATATATACATTACTTCCACCTAAAATATTCAAATGAAGAGGCGGTGGCCAGAATTAATTTTGACTTCCCCCTGCGTGTCCCAAGTTTCTTGCCGACAATACTGAATTTTCGTATGAGATGCCAAAAGAAGAAATTCATATCCAAGAATCATTCCAGAAACCATTCCCTCTTATAACAATGTGACCAATAGTGCCAGGATTTCTAGATCAGTCGTACAACGAAGGTTTTAATGTTGGATGATCAAATATTAATTAGTCCACATTAACGGATGTCATTGTTTAAAAAGACGCTTTCAGGCAAGAATAAACTCATTGTAGTGTATACGAACTGATAAAGCAATCTTCTATATCGGGAGTTGTATTGCATGAATGTTGATTTTGTTTCCTGTGTCATGAGACCTCCTACATGAACTTGTGTTGCGATTTCAATATGTTGAGGTCAGATCAGTTTATAAATATGGATAAATCTTCCTCTCTTTCTTCAGTTAGAAAAAAAGGCGATATTTTCACATGACCACTTCGTAAAGAAAAGAAAAGAAATTCGATTTTGTCGTCAGCATGCTGTAAAATACATTCTTTGCCTGTATCATGTTA